TTCTACACGGAGTGCACAAAGGTATTATGACTACTGGAGATTAGGTGACTGGGGCATCAAACCCACCACAGTTGTCATACTTGGTAACTGTTCAACGTCACAACCCACAGTTGTATTTATGCTAACTAACGTCACCCACCACAGTTGTATATATGGGTACCATACGTCACCCTCCACAGTTGTATTCTTGGTTTAAATGATCTTCACCCATCACAGTTGTATACATTCGGTATATCAGATTTTCTTAAGAGCTTCTACATACTCTCAATTAAAATGTTGTGCTCCATGAGCGTATTTTCAAATATAGACAGGATTGACTGGTGCAATTTGACAGGCAATATTTAGGTGTCAGAGTGTCTTTCTGAGTCGATCAAGGATTGTTTTTTAAAAAAAAGTTGTGACAGTGCCATACTATGGGATATAACATACCTTGACCTTGTGTTCCTTGCCAGTAGGGTTACACTATTTATGAATATTGTTGGTTATGATGAGCTTGGGGGAAAGTGATCACATATCAATACAGGTTAATATATAATGGTATTAAACCTTAATGATTGGCATTTAACTGTCTACCGTCCTGACTTTACAAGCTGGCACTGATTTCATATGGACTGACAAATTTACCTTAGGTCGGGCCTGAACTGGAATGACTGGACTAAGGGGTCAGGTTTTATGGTTGGTGATGGTTGTTCCGATCATGATGTCTTTCCAGGGCATAGTTCCTAGCTGCTCAGTTCAAATTAAACTGTTCCTAAATAGGGAAATCAGATCAAAACAAAAATGATCTATAATGGATGAACATAGAACACATTAAAATATCTGATTGGGGTCAAAAGAGAGGCATATATATAGGCCAAATCAAAGAAGAGGAGAGGGGGCAATGAATGTAAATCGATATATTCCACTGTTTAAAGAGAGGAAATAAAAAAGGGAAAATAGGAAATGCAAAAACGAGACTTTAACTGAGGTTAAAAGTTGCAAGAGAATCGAAGTACTAACCCATAAGGATTCTTTCAGGTATACAGAAGTAAGATTCAGGGACATGATAGGACACTCAAAGTTCACTCGTGTTCAGCTCACTGACAGTGATAAGGAAATTCGTGTAGAATTTTTTAACACTTTAACTTCCTACTCAGTTTTTACACAGGAGGATACTAGCGATATTCCAGTAATGATAAATTATGTAGAACAGGACGATAATAAACTGTGCACGATTAGGGTCACAAGTGACATGGTCCTTAGGCAAATAGATAAATTAAAACCTTCCTGAATCTGAATTTTTCTAACTTAAAACCATTGCTGCGAGTCCTGTCTAGGCTAGATATTTTCAGCACACTATTTACATCCCCTTTATTTATTCCTGTCTTCCATTTATATACCTCAATTATATCCCCCCTAATTCTACGTCTTTCTAGAGAGTGCAGATTCAGGGCCCTTAGTCTATCCTCATAGGGAAGGTTTCTGATACATGGGATCAACTTTGTCATCCTCCTTTGTACATTTTCCAGAGAATTTATATCCATTCTGTAATACGGTGACCAAAACTGTGCAGCATAATCTAAATGAGGCCTAACCAAGGATGTATAACATCACCAACAACTTTAATAACACACAAAGCACACGTTGATCCATCACAATCTGACGCCAAGATAGGGAATGAGGTTAATAGTATAATAATAATAATAATAATAATAATAATAATAATAATTTAGATTGAGGGGCAACAACATAAAGTTAGCACGAAAATCCAACTTCAATATAGAATTTGAAACTGTATTCTGATGCAAAATTTTAGATTTAATAAATAAACCAAAATGGCTTCCGCTTCCAATATGGAATAGCTTACAACGCAGCCTCAGTGAAGCAAACACAATGGGAAGTTTCAAACACAGGTGGTACAAACCACATTATTGATATTGGCTGCCTATAACACACAAGCAGTCACGTATGGACCAGTAAACCTTCTGCCAGACCTTCGTTATTCTTACGGTCTTTTTTTTTTTAACAAGTCGGCCGTCTCCTACCGAGGCAGGGTGACCCAAAAAGAAAGAAAATCCCCAAAAAGAAATCACTTTCATCATCATTCAACACTTTCACCTCACTCACACAATCACTGTTTTAGCAGAGGTGCTCAGAATACAACAGTTTAGAAGTATATACGTATAAAGATACACAACATATCCCTCCAAACTGCCAATATCCCAAACTCCTCCTTTAGAGTGCAGGCATTGTACTTCCCATTTCCAGGACTCAAGTCCGGTTATATAAAATAACCGGTTTCCCTGAATCCCTTCGCTAAATATTACCCTGCTCACACTCCAACAGCTCGTCAGGTCCCAAATACCATTCGTCTCCATTCACTCCTATCTAACACGCTCACGCACGCTTGCTGGAAGTCTTACGTTCTTATCTTGACATAAAAGACAATATTAAACAGGAAGAATAATTATGTTTTAATTATTAATTCTACTGCCAATGAGGTGTCAAATACTTGGATTTTAAAACACTGTTTTTATGGCAGTATGTTCATTCACGGGATGACTAGCACTGCTCAATTATTAACTCTTATTTCCTCATTTACGTTCTTATTTTGTGCGTGGAGGGAAACCTTGTACAATTATAAATAACTCACATATAATTAGTGTGTGTTTTTTGTCATGCAATTTGCGTGTGACTGTAATGTGATGGAGAAGCATCAGGCAGCCGTCCCTCCAGCGTAATTGTAAGGTAAAGCCAGAGGCGGGTCCTCCAGGGGACCTTGGTCACGGAGAAAGTGTGGGCAAGACACGCACACCGGACACACGTAGTCACTGAGTGGAGACATGAAGCATCATGCAGCGGAAAGGCAATCACACAGGCGATAGTGATCCGATCACACCCGAAAGCACTTTGCTTCGATTCCCGGGCTGGTCAAAATGTGTGGGCTGCTCCCTGTTTCCTAGCAGTGGAATTGTGCATGTGTATTGATTAACTGTTGTGACTCGCACTCTAGAGAAGGATTCCAACAGTATTAAGTCATACTACCTTACTGTTGGGTTATTATGGATCATGCTGTATAGCCCTTGTGGCTTAGCGCTTCTTTTTGATTATAATAATAATAATATTATGGATCACAACCCTCCGGGATTAATTGATTAATTAATGATCATCTCTATTTTCTTCCACTTCTTTCTTACTGTTTTTCATTTTCTTCACACTACCAGCACTTATCAAGACAAATGACCAGAGCAAGCGAAAAGTCATCCTATACAGGTTCTGGTAGGTAAGACACATAGGCAACAGTTAGGCAACTTTATTCCGAAACGTTTCGCCTACACAGTAGGCTTCTTCAGTCGATTACAGAAAGTAGGCAGGAACAGTAGAGATGTGAAGACGATATAATCAGTCCATCACCCTTGAAGTCGTAGAATTTTGAGGTTGTCAGTCCCTCAAGGTCGACTTCAAGGGTGATGGACTGATTACATCGTCTTCACATCTCTACTGTTCCTGCCTACTTTCTGTAATCGACTGAAGAAGCCTACTGTGTAGGCGAAACGTTTCGGAATAAAGTTGCCTAACTGTTGCCTATGTGTCTTACCTACCAACCTGTCGGTATTGTATACCATTTTGATGCTCAATACAGGTTCTACACCTGTATGAAGCAACTACTGGACACCCAAAGATGGGGATGCTGGAGCAGGTCAGGGACCACCAAAGATAGGGATGCTGGAGCAGGTCAGGGACCCTGTAGAAGGTAGCAGTCACTTGGTTGCTGTAACGGTTACAGCGTAACCTCTGAAGACGAGGGACAGGGAAAGGGAAAGGGAAAGGGACCCCATCCCCCATTTCTACGGGAAACTTTCAGGAGAAAGTTAGAAGGTATGGAGAGAGGCTTGACAGAGACGACGTGAAGGTTCACACGTCAGCGAGCTGGGTGCAGACAACACCAGCTGGGTTTTACCCAAGTAGCGTTACGGTGATATTCCTTGCTGTATTTACCTTTCTTTTAGGTGCATTTTATGATCAATTTTTAAATTCAAGGGGACTGATGAACCTAGTTCTTTCCTCGAGGGTCTAAGTTGTTCAGCAAACCCTTGGAACCTTTAGGAGAGAACTACTAACTTCTAAAGGTTTGATGAACCCTTATATCCTCTTCAGAAGTTGCAATGAGTTGTTGAATCTAAGGATCATTCATCCAATATTTCCAAGGGTTTGCTAGTCTTTGACCCCCCCCCCCTCTCCACTTCCCCCTCCATCTTTTCCATGGTTCCTGGGGTTTGCTGAAACCTGAAATCCTTTCACGTGCTGCAGTAAGACCAGATCCTCATGTGACTCCTGTGCTGCAGTAAACATAGATCCTATTGTGACTCCTGTGAAGCACTAATCCCATGTTGATCACTCAGGGCAGTGAGTGGCAGAGGCTTGATCCTCCGTCCGCTAAATCGCTAGAGTAGACCGACAAGCAAACAATGTATGGTCATGAGGCCAGGAATAAGGCGACTGAGAGTACAGTCCATCTTCAAGGCCCCGCCCCCTACATCTCATACCTCACATCCTTCAATGAATGTTCATTGATGCTTTCCGAGTCTCCAGGCGTCGTATGGTTCCTGAGGGACTGGCGCTTCCCCGTGAAAACAATGCGTCGAGATGAATAAATTTCTTCTTAATAACATTAGTCGTTGCTCACAATTCTCCAACTGTTAGAAAAGTTGAACATTCGTCCAGCAGAAGACGTGTGTATGGTAAAAATGTTTTTCTCAGTATATAGATAACAGAGTGTAACTGCTTATCTCTGCCAGCTGAGGGCACTGTATGTAATATTTTAGGAAAACAAAGGTTTTAGAATAAGCAAATGCACGAAGCTAAGGAAATGTGTGAAGATAAACTAAGGTGTGGTAAACCAAGGCGTGAGGAAAAACAAAGGTGTCAGGATAAGCTAAGGTGTGAGGTTAAGATAATATAAACAAATGTGTGAGCATAAACAAGTGCGTGAGGATAAATCAGTGCTTGAGAATACTTACTGCAGATAACAATGCCGACCAGCAGGCTGAGTGTCACAGTGCAGAAGGTGGAGAACTTCTGTAGGGAAACACACACAGAGTAGTGTTAGTACATCATTTGAGTTACTTCACTAGTAGTAGCTGTGGTGGTAGTGGATAACAGGACTGGGTGTGGGCTGGTGGTGTGGAATGATGAAGAGTGGTGTTGTGAAGGAAATTACAGTATTGAGAGTGGTGATGGGTGGGTAATGGGTTGTAGGGAAGATCCTGTCAACAATAATATAACTGACACAATGTTAAATACAACAAAATGGAAATGTCAGTAAAAACGTAAGAAAACCTTCCTTCCTTCCTCCCTACATTCCTTACGTCCTTTCATTTTCTCTCATGTCAAAGTTACTCTCACTCTTACTCTCTCACCTGCCATAATTACAAGACAGGAAGACAAGTCATCAAGCGGCAGTGTGTACTGGAGCCAATAACACCCCTTAATTATTACCTTGGTAAATTATGTTTGTTATCAGTAAGGTCCAATTACCTTTATAAGACAGACAGTTATTGCACCACCTAATTACGCTGCTGGTAAAGCATCTACATTCATTCATTAATATATATATATATATATATATATATTATATATATATATATATATATATATATATATATATATATATATATATATATTTATATATATATTATATATATATATATATATATATATAAACATACATATCGATCTATTTCCTTCCCTCACTGAGGTTGTTAAACTTCTTAAAGGCTAAAAAAAATTGACAAACCTACGTACAACCACACAAGTTAATAGTTAGTTAGTTAGTGTGTGTGTGTGTGTGTGTGTGTGTAAACAGAGCGTGGGATAGGCTAGCCCCTAGCGGCTCACCATAAATGACGTCATAACCTTCGACAGTAATACTTAATTATTAAAGTTAAGTGGCGGTTAAGATAATTAGACAAGTATCAGAAGATGTCAGTGTGGCAGTAGAAGAATAGAGTAGAGCAACGAGCGAGGTAACAACAGTGTAAACAGGAAGACTTACACGCAACACTACTAACGACAACTAACAACGGGGCCTGATAGGCAACGCTCTTGCTTCACACAATGAATGTCCGTGGTTCGATCCCCGGCATGGGTGGTAACATTGGGCGTGTTTCCTTACATCTGTTGTCCCCGTTCACCTAGCAAGCAAATAGGTACCTGGGCGTTAGTCGACTGGTGTAGGTCGCATCCTGGGTGACAAGATTAAATGACTCCAATAGAAATAAGACTCACCGACTTTCTTGGGTTATCCTGGATGGCTAACCCTCCGGGGTTAAAAATCCGAACAAAATCTTATTTGTCAAGCAGAGGCGCAGGAAACACACACACACTCGCATATACAACAGGCCTAGTGTCTAATCGACATGTGCCTAGGACAAAATGGTAACACACACACACACACACACACACACACACACACACACAGGGACGTTAGGAAGTATTTCTTCAGTCATAGAGTCGTCAGGAAGTGGAATAGCCTAGCAAGTGAAGTAGTGGAGGCAGGAACCATACATAGTTTTAAGAAGAGGTATGACAAAGCTCAGGAAGCAGAGAGGGAGAGGACCTAGTAGCGATCAGTGAAGAGGCGGGGCCAGGAGCTGAGTATCGACCCCTGCAACCACAATCAGGTGAGTACACACTCAAACAGCAGATTAACTTCGTGGACTAACAATAACAGACAGACAGCAGCTGTCTGTACAAACACAAGAACAGACTTTCAGACACGTGACACCAAGACAGCTGTTGAGGAACACTAAGTTTAATGACTCCCTCAGGAATTCTGGCAGTGTTGTGAAATATTGTGGTGGGGGGAGTCGGTTGTCTCATGTGAAAGGGGGGGGGAGAGAATGAATTGGTGGGGGGGGGGTGCTGTTTGTGATGGTGATAGTGCCTTTATGGATGTGACAGTGGTGAGCTTGGTGATGGTGACAAAGATGGTGGTTGTGAGAGTACATGGGAAGGCAACAAACCTATCCCACCTCATTAACACAAAGAGCAACAACCATTGAGTAGTGAGGACGTGCGCTGCTCATTGGGATATCAACATGGCGGAACATACAGTACGGAGAGTGAATACTATCTGCATAGAGCTGGTTCGTGGTACGTTAAGTGGAGATACGATGAACGTCCTTCTCCCTAACATCATCAGGGATACATATGGTATTCCCAACGAGGAATTGTATGGCGTCGCCCTTAATGGTTTAACAAGAATCTTTGTGAAATTTCTACGAGTCGATTACTACACAAGAATTGTCGAGCATTACCAGGAGCAACGTATGAGTGTGAATTCAACGATGGATGTTGTGTTACATGACGTCTCTAAGTACTTCACATGGGTGAAGGTACGGAATGTACCCTTCGAGGCTACGGCTTATGGCCTGCAGGAGTTTTTTCGAAGTTATGGGACAGTACATTCTGCAACAATGGGGGTGTGGAGGGATGGTCCATATGAAGGAATGCCGGAAGGTTCTTACACCCTTAAAATGACCTTAACAAGGCCTATACCATCCTATGTTACGATGATCGGTTGTAGAACACAGGTTTATGTGTACTATGCTGGGCAAAGGAAAACATGTCGTCTATGTAGCTCTTATGAGCACATGGCAGCCCAGTGTCCTAGGAGGCGGGCTTCTCGAATTCTCGACACTCCAGTTGTGATTCAGCAGTCGTGTAATTTGGTGCCTGGCTCTGATGCCTCGGGAGGCCGGAGGAATGACCTCTGGAGCGAAGAGGTCGACCGGGAGGTGGAGGCGGCGGAGACATGTGTCACTCTCCCAGGGGCGTCGGGGGGAGTTGAAGGTGACATCTGAGGAGACTTTCGTCCAGGAAGCTTAACCAGGATGGGTTATTGGCAGATGTGATCAAGGATTTTTTGGATGAGGAGGAACCCTGTGCAAAGGTGTCCTCAGTTCATGTGAAGCTGGAACTTTGGAGGGACAACAAATTGTTGAGGATGACTTGAGTAAGAGTGGGCGGGAGCATGTGGTGGCCGTGGAGGTACATCAGGAGGAATTGTCTGAGGGTGATATGTGTGTAAGTGTGAGTTCTAGGAAACGAACTGCGGCATCAGAGATAGATGAGGTCATTACCCCAGGGCAGAGGCCGGGGAAGAAGTCATGGGCAGCGGTTGTGGAGCGAGGACACATAGTGGTAGAGGTGTGCCTGAGTTGCAAATTGGGAAAGGGAGGGGGAAGTGACTGCACAGGAAAACTCGAGTGGCAAAGGAACACGTAATATGAAAAGTGCAGTGGGTAAATGCCAGAGGCATAGGGGAAAGCCGCCCCTTCTGTAATTTTCAGATGTGTCACGCTTAATGTTAATGGACTTAAGACTGAGGTCAAGAAAGTTTGGTTGGAGTGGTTTTTAAGGCGGTTTGATGTTGACATATGCTTTTTGCAAGAGCATAATCACAGGGCTGGTAGGTGTGTTGAGGGTGAAAGGATATCGGATGTATGTAACCAGTGGTTTGCAATTGAAAGGTGGGGTAGCAGTTGCGGTAAAGGAGACCAGCCCCTTGCGTGTCATTGGTTGGGAAGAGGGGGGGGGTGGGAGGATCGTGAGGGTGGATGGCGTCTGGGGTGAGAGTCGAGTTAGTTTCGTGGGAGTTTACATGCCAGCAACTAGTATATCAGGGTAAAAGTAGATTTTGTCAGAGAGGTATTGCTGTATCACTTGAGAGGTTTGCTGCTATAACAGTAATAGGAGGTGATTGGAATTGTGTGATTAGGAGTGGTGATGTCGAACCGAGAGGGGCGGGTTGTGTGCTGAGTGTGCTGAGGGATGTATTGCGAGATATTGGGGTTGTTGATGTGGTGGGGAGGGGGGGTTACCTAGTGGAGCATACGTTCGTCCGTAGGGGATATGAAGCGCGATTAGACAGAATTTATATTAAGCAGGGTATAGATGTTGTGAGGGTTGCAAACCTTCGATGTGGGGTTTTCTGATCACAGAGCGGTAATAGCAGATTTGATGTGGGATGGAGTGGTGCGTATTTATTCTGGGTACTGGAATTAAATGTAAGGCTTCTTAAGGAGGAGGGGGAGGGGCCTTTTTTCAGTGATTGGTGGTTGCCTTTTTGGGAGGCTAGGAACAGGGAGATAGATCTGTTAGATTGGTGGGAAATGCAGGCAAAACCTGGAATAGCGAATTTTTTTAAGGCTAGGGGACGAGAGGAGGCGAGGTGGCGTTTTGGGTTGCAAAATTATCTGGAGGGACAGTTGCAAGATTGTTATGTTGGGGGAGGTGGTAGGAGGGATGATATGGACAGACTGCGGAGTAGAATAGCTGAATTACACAATGATAGGTTTGATGCAATTAGGGTTAGGGCGGGGTTAGAGGATGTTTTTGTGGGGTGATAAGCCGCTGGGTATGTTTTACGTAAATTTCGGACCGACAGAGTGTAACCACCATTCTACAATTGGAGACAAGCCCTGGGGTGGGAGGGTATCCAGTGGGTCGAGTCCTATCCAATACGGAAAGTATGAGTCTCTATGCTGATAGTTGGTTTAGAGAGAAATGGAGTTGGAGGGAGGGGGGTTCCTGGGAGGGTATTTTTGAAGGGGGGTTCCATGCGTTTTAAGTGAGCAGGAGAAGAGTGGGGTTGGAGGTTGGTATAAGTGAGGTTGAGGTGGAAGAGGCAGTTTTCGGGATGAGTACCGGGAAAACACCAGGGATAGACGGTATACCAAATGATTTTTATAGAGCACATTGGGGGTGTATTAGGCAGTGTTTTGTTAGGCTATTGGACCATATGTTAACTAGTGGGAAGTTGGGCATATCGCAAAGTACGGGTGTCATAGTTTTGGTGCCAAAGAAGGGGGGGGGTAGAGAGTTGAGTGCTTACCGTGCAATATCTTTGATGTGCGCTGATTACAAGGTTTTTGCGAAAATTTTGGGTAAATAGACTGAAGAAGGTCATGGGGTCGGTGATACATGGGGGACAGTTTGGTATCCCGGGGAGGAGTATGCGGGTAGGTCATGGTCGTATTCGGGATTTCCTTGAGGGTAGTAATAAGGGAGGTATT